GAGTCACCTCTCGAGTCAACTCACAAGACACCTCTCGAGTTCCTTTTCAAGCCCTCTCTCGAGCTCCCTCTCGAGTCCCCTCTCGAGTCACCTCTCGAGTCCCCTCTCGAGTCACCTCTCAAGTATCCTCTCAAGATCCCTCTCAAGTCATCTCTCAAGATCCCTCTCAAGTCATCTCTCAAGTCAACTCTCGAGTCACCTCTCAAGTCTCCTCTCGAGTTCCCTCTCAAGCCCTCTCTCGAGTTCCCTATCGAGTTCCCTCTCAAGTCACCGCTCGAGTTCCCTCTCAAGTCACCGCTCGAGTTCCCTCTCAAGTCACCGCTCGGGATCCCTCTCAAGTCATCTCTCAAGTCAACTCTCGAGTTTCCTCTCGAGTCTCCACTCAAGTCTCTTGTCCTGTGCCGTTGGAGGTTCCGCTGGGGGTCCTACCAACCCTATGTCCTTTGCCGTTGGAGGTCCTGCAGACTACTCTTCTGCCGGGCGTCCTGCCAACTCCATGTCTTGTCCCGTTGGAGGCCCCGCCGACTACTCTTCTGCCGGGGGTCCAGCGTTGGCTGGACCCCCGGCAGAAGAGTAGTCGGCGGGGCCTCCAACGGGACAAGACATGGAGTTGGCAGGACGCCCGGCAGAAGAGTAGTCTGCAGGACCTCCAANCATTTTTGTAAACGGAGGAGCTACAAAAATGGCAACATCAAAGAAAAGCACACCGTGGTCGACCGAGGAGGTGACGACGTTCCTACATCTCATTGGGGATGATAAAATCCAGCGGGAGCTCGACGGAACAACTCGAAATGTGAAGAAAGAAAAAGCTGATCGCCCCGCCTACACTGCGTTGCTACCCCAGGTCCTAAACTCGGACGGCCAGCGAGGCAGCCCGAGGCCTGAGCGAGGACGCTTAGGGACGCTTAAACGGGGCTACCCCGCTGCAGTGGAAATGTGCCATTAGAGCAACAGAGGAGGGAGCGCTTTCCCAGGACAGTCAGATATGCAGCAGAAGTTGTGCTTCAGAACAAACGTGATTAAATGACAGTAATAAAATAACGTTGATCACACATTTCTATGGACTCAGTGTGTTGTTGCCTACATAGACATGTGTGTCTATTCTCTCTCACTTCATGTTCAGCTTGCCAGCATCTCTTGCTGTACAGTAATCTGGGTTTACATTGATCTTTTCTTGTGGTCAGTGCCTATCATCAACACTATCATGTATGCGGGCGTACACAGCAACATTACATTATCTCCTTGCTACAATAGGTTGTGATTTTGTATGGTGAAACCAGAAAAAGAAATAATACGAGATGCTCTGAAATGACCAGAAATCCAATCCATGTACTCTATGGACAATTTTTAAGCCAAAGCGTCTGGGAGATTTACAGTAATCAGTTTTAGTTTTTGTTCGGCACCCTGAGATTTAGAAAAGGCCTCTCGCCTGATATATTTCATAAACAGGTTTTACAGCCCCGCTGTGTGTGTTTTTGTTGTCTAGGTGTCCAGACAGCCCCCGCCCCACCACCGTGCGACCGTGTCAGCTGCCCTGCAAGAAAGACTGCATCATGACCCCTTTCAGCAACTGGACACTGTGTCCTTTCACTTGTGACACAGGTACTATGACATCTTTCTCCTCATGCATGGAGAGAATACCTGTCTGATTTAAAAAGATACTGGTTTCAGATAATTAAATGGAAATCAGGGAAAGAATCGATTATCAAAGAAAGGTGTACACAAATCCGGTATCTTGAAATGTGTACAGTGTGTCTTAAGATGTTTTACACTTTGTCATAAACTGTCCATTTCTTCATTTATTAACAAAATCATCTTCTCTTATCCTGAGCTGAAAGGTATTTATTTCCATAATTTACATTTAAAACTATTTTTAACAATTACTTTACTCGTGAGTCACATATCAGTCATTCATTATTCACAAAATCCTTTTCATTGGAAAGTTACTACATTTGCATACCAGGTACTGTATATGCCAGAACACAGCTTCATTATAGCATGCACATTTATTTATATGACTCTGTCGCAGCCCAGAAGAACTAAAAGTGATTGTGTGAAAAAATGATTGAGGCTAGAGCCTTTTCCTAGAGCCAATCAGATTAATACCACATAAACATCTTGCATTCATATCTCCTTACACGTAATTCATTTGACAGATTGGCATGTAAGACAACCTTTGGGCCGACCTCTTTTAGTGCGACTGGCAAGCCGACTTTGCCAGTGGCTAAAAGTGTCGGCACCAGTTGTTGTTGTTTTTCTGCTTTAAAAAAAATAATAATAATTGTTCAGTTGGGGTCACCTTTGTCGACAGCCACTGCCCGATCTGTTGAGCAGAGGCAACTTCATTACATTGATTTACATCTGAAAATCATTACGGTCCATATTTTGATGACCTCTGTGTGTGACACTTTGGCATAAATCTCTTTCGCTCTGAGCATGCTGCAACGATGGCAGTGCATTTTAATTTGATGCTGTGGATATCTTCACCTTGTGCAGGGAATTTCACATCACCCCCATACAGTACGATCGTTTAAAGCAAGGTTCAGGAATATCCAGGGGCTCGTTGCTTCTTAATTAACAACTTGAGGTCATCTACACACATGTAAACCCCATCAAGTTAATTTGAGTCAACTCCAAGGTCTAATGGGATTTTTTTCACAGCATTGTTGTTGGCTTGAAATCCAAAGTAATCAGACGTGCGTGTTGTCTGCAATAGCTATCCATTTAGATATGGCAAAAGCACTCTCCATGTATATTCTTCAAGAACTATTAACAGAGCAGCCTAGCTTATCATTTTGACATGTTTTTCATCACATTCCCCTCACGAAAATTATTGTTTTAATTAATTATTTTGTGTGTGTGCGTGTGTCCGTTCAGATGGTAACGCTGTGAAGACAAAGCAAACAAGGAAACGTCTTATCATCCAGCAGCCATCCAACGGAGGACAGGACTGTCCCGAGGTGCTGGAGGAGGAGAACGACTGTGAGGTCCCCAAAATCTGTCCAGGATTCAGGTAAAAACACGCAACAATAATCACAAAATGCAGATTTCCTGTTTCCTTACTTTAATTAACAGCTATCAGTAGGACAGATTGATTTAAATGACATTGTAGCATAGCTGCAATTCCTGTATTGAAAAATAAAAAGCCATATAGGCACTGTAGGACATTTCATTTATGATCTTAAGCACTCTACATGTGTCCCAGTTTATTCCCTGTTGCAGGGAATATCATTTACTGTAAATAAAACAGGTTTTCACACATATTCAATGTCTGTAATGGTCAAAACGGTGACTCAAGTCATAAACCTATGAAAGTCAAAAAAAGTGTTTTGTCTGACTGGTCAGAAAAGCAGGATCCTCATTAACTATATCCGTTAATGAAGTAAAAAGATCTTTTTGTAAAAATGTTTGGTAGTTTCAATATGGTTAATAATACTATGCATACTATAAACACAGGACTATAGTTTATTTTCCTCAAATAGTTTGGCACTATTCCCCAATATTGTTCACATATTACAGTCTTACATGGTGCACTGTTGGTGAATCCCATGGTCGTGTTGATATAGCTATTCTATCCTGATTTATTCCAGGTGGAAAAGCCATAAATGGAGGAAGTGCCAGCTGGTCCCATGGTTTCTCAGACAGGAGCGTCCCGGTGCGCAGGAGACCTGTGGACCCGGGCTCCAAACAAGAGGTACAGAATCTCTTCATCTCCCCCCACATCTCCACTGGACCATCACTAATCACTGTTAATTAATTTTGTGCTCCTTTGGGTGCATCTGAAACCCGGCCACGAGGCAGCAGATGGATGCACCAAGGTTTTGAGAAAAGGCCAATTGACTTATAGCAGATATCAAATCATCTCACTTACTATACCTGATACTACTAAAAACATATTTGAGTTTAATCTGAGGAAAAAACTGTGTTCCCAAGCGGTGATGGCCCTCCTGAGACCTACAGTATGCTGTAGACTTGAAAGTGGTGATTGTTACACTTGTTTTTGTTTTACCTCTTGTCATGCAATTTTAATCAAATTGTTTTTTTGTTGTATCTAGCAGAAGGTGCAGCACCTTGCTTATAGCATGTGACAGCCCAAACGTTTGTTTATATGGGCTTCACGTACAAGTGACAATTACTGTAAGGGGTTGTGGCTCTCTCACTTTAAAAGCATATTGCCTCTCGCCTTTTCATAGAGGATGGATGCACCATGTAGTCCTGGGAGGCTTTCATAAAAATTCAATTTCAGGGGGTCACGCAGAATGATCAATTTCATTATGTTCAAGCTCCTATAGAAGGCCATTATTAGTGCTTATATTTCTGTTTCGTCTTCTCCAGCTTACATTAATGGATGGAAGAATCAATTTATTCATGAAAAATGCTATATGGTCCACTTCAGACATACTCACACCACGCTATTCCCGATTCTCTGCTGCTTTTCACTGATGTGATACCATGTGACACCTGATGTCCAGAGCCTTCTGCACATGTTTTCACTCCTCTGACACATTAAAGTGGCAGAAATAACTTTGTCATTGACTTAAATCAAATTAGACACACTGTCCTTGCTGGTATGTGTTTTTGTCTGAGAGTGTATTATGTTGTTTACCTGGACAGAGACTTTCCTTAGAGGAAAAAAAGCACTGCAGTAGCACTATGAAACACCACATAGAACAACTGAGACCATGTGCTTATCTTTGTCTCTCTTGTTCACACACACACACACACACACACACACACACACACACACACACACACTCACACAAACACTAACTGTCACAGCCCAATAAAAATCGGGAGCCACAACAGAGATAAATATGTCAGTGCCTCAGGCTTGGGCTGCTATCTTCATATCGAGAAAAGCTGTTGTGGTGTGAGTAAAAAAAACAACAACGTCTGCTTATTGATTCTGACAGTCTGGGTTCTGCATGCTACCAAATGTGTCTTTGTATAATCACATTGATGCTGTGGAGACCGAATGATTCATGGTTATGATGTTCGGCAGTAGCTGTATTAATGCCAGTCAATCATCTCGCTGCCGTGTTGTCTAATGGAGGCTGTGTTTACACTCAGCTTTTCACTCTGATATATCGCTTGAAGGCCTCAAAAAGGAGGCCAAAGACACCACTGAACGGGTCCTTGAAGAACTGCAACTGTTTTATGCTAAATTTAAAAATGATGTTCTTTTTTTGTAGTCTGTAATTTTGATAATGAAATTAATTAGGCCTTATCTCTTCCCAGCAGACCTTGTTTTTGCGTGTGTATTCTCTCTTAAAACTACTGACGGTTCTTTTCTTTCTCCTCACTTCATCCTGCTCAACCATCTGCTCATGTATTGAACACAGCCTCTCACTGAACAGATTACTCAATGCGCTAATAGCAGCGCAACACGAGCATTAGCCTGGCTGCTCGTGTTAATGTCGCGCTTTGGGACCAGCTCCGGGGGCCATGTTGTGCATGCCCTGGCCTCGCTACAAATTACGACATTTAAAGATCATTATGGGATTGTGACTAGAACCAGGAAGTCAGTTACAAAGCAGATGCCATTACTGGATGGTTTCATTCATTTCAGTGTGCTGCATTTTCATGGTGGTAAACCGACAAGTGAACTGTTGGAGAAGCAACAATTAGAAAATTGTTCAGTGAGGATAAAATACTAAATACAAGCAAGAACATCTGACAAACAAAGACATTATGACAGATAAAATGAACAAAAACTGGAGGAAAACAGTGAAGTACCACAATGTATACATGAAAACATGCATAAAAGACAATATTACAACTGGCTTTCACACCCCCACACACAGAGTCTCCCAGCCAAACATTGTGCTGTTCCTATTCTGGCTGGTATTGTGTTTTTTTCTTTCTGGCTATTGTATTGTATCTGCCAACAAACGTGGTCTGTTTTTTTTATGAAAACTGGAATGTAATTGAATTTTAATGATCTAAATTTGGATAATACCCACAATTAGTGTGGCAACAATCTAATTACACTATAAAGGAAACAATGGGAGTTCTCTTGGTAGAGGCAAACCTGCTAGGAGTCAACTCATTGCCCTATATGTAAAGCACTCAAAACACTCAGATTGGATACAAGGGGATTATAAGAAACACAATCAAAATGATAGCTGCATTAAACAATGTTTTTAAAATAAAATAAACATGTGAAGCAGCCTTCTGAAGGTGTCAGAAATGATGACTGAACTTCCCACAGGAAACTACCATCAGTTTTTGCACCAAATTATCGTTTTAGGTTCTCCTGGGCCTTTAGCCAATCCCAGCATGCAGCTCACTAGTATGCAACAGACTCACATTGACAACAGACACTCTTCCCATTCATACTTCAGTCAGACAACTCACGTGTTTCTTAATATGTTTATTAGAACAGCATATAGTTTGAGTTTGGCGTCTAGGCTCACGCCTCATCACTCCACAGATTTACAAAGAACATTGAGTGATGATTAGATAACTATCACCCGAGCCTACAGGTGGAAGCTGGGGTGGAGCTGGGGCAGGCAAGTAGCAGCAACATGAAACACAGCAGGAACATGAACGCAGCAGTAGCAAGTGAACACAGCAGTGGCAGCAGCAGCATAGCGAGGCAGAGGCAGGAAGACCTGGCAGCTTAAATAGAGCGGCATGTTTAGGAGAATGTGTTTGGTTGGTTGTAAGAGGGACGAAGTGCGTCACGTGTTAATGTATCATTGGTGCTCGAGTTGACTGCCTGAACTAGCTCGCAGGCTTCGCCCCATTTATGGTTGATTTAGAGTTTACAGTTTAAAGGAAACTGACAAAGATGGAGAGGGACATCATCATTATATTCATAACTTAAACAGATCCCAGTGAACAAAATGATTACTTTAGTGTGAAATGATCACAACACTTCAGTAACAAGCAGAAATATGCATGTTGTGTTTAGTTTTAATGACACCACTTTAGTAAGTAAGTTCAATTGTATTTGAGAAGATAGCAAGGATCTATCCTTGCAATGTTTCTTATTGATAATAACTTGAAAACTGACTCGGGGTATTTATTAAAGTTTAACTTGCAATACAAAATGACCCCTATGTTTCTGAAACCCAACTTTGATTTGGAAGCCTGGGACATAGGAAACACATTTATCTTGATGTGCATTTATTGCATGACTCAGATCAGTTAACCACAAGACGTCACTTCTTAGCAAACAAAGGGTGTTTAAGGGGTACAAACCAACATTCAATGATGTTGTTTTTCTACTAAGGACAAATCAGCTAAAACATTTGCTTGTTGTTCATGTGTTTTCAGATGACATTGTAAAGGTGAAACCTAAAAGGCAGGCAGTTTGCACTCTAGCAATGAGACTTGTATTTCTCTGGGGTTTCGTTTGGTATTCATAGGGCTTTCTGTCTAGATTAAAGTCAAAAGTCAAACTGTATTTTTTAAACTTCTGTCTATTATTCAAATAGGAACATTGTTTTATTGCCGTAGCTCTTCTAAGATCCTGCACAAGGGGTAAATTGTAGCTCATCCCCAGACATTTATAATTTTTGAGTGGCAGAGTGAGTATAACCAGGTCAAAAGTGTAATCCCCTCTTTGTCAGAGAGCTCTTATAGCCACATTATCTAATCGCACAGCCTCAGTGCTCTGATCCCTCGTGATGTGGAGACATGTTTCTCTGCCTCAGGGACATTTTCAAGAAATCGATAAGCATAAGAAATACAGCATCTGAAGTCCTTGTACAAATGTATATATGTCATGCTGCATTTATAAACATACAAAAGAAAGAACGAAAAACAAAATAATGTATACACTACATTGCTTTTAAGCCTACAGCTGCAGTATTGTTGCGATAGTTGCATACAGTATCCTATTTGCATCTAATTTGAGATTGAGATAGATTTGATCCTTTATTAACTGATAAAACTTTGAATTGATCAACATGGTTATGAGTGTTACTGCACTGTGCCTTCTGTTGTGTAGCTCAAAGCAAAATAGATTGAGTTCGATAAATATAAATGTAATGACCTTGTAACAAACCAAAATGAAAAGTTATGTTTCTTTTGTTTCTCTGAGACTTTAACAATTTTGTTCATGCGCCTGTTTGATATCAGCCTCCTTCTTATTGGATTAATTATATCATACATTGCTTTTCCATCTGCTCTATGTACGACTTGATTGTATTTAGTTCTTCCAGATTGTTGTCCACGGTTTATTTTTGTCGCTGCTTCTCTGCCAGGTTTGACTTCATAAAGAGCCTTGTGATCTGTACAGTCTGCAGACGGTGCAGAATTAAAGATTTATACGTTGTTAAAATGCTGTTTAGCCCTGGTGTAGCGATTGTTCTGCACTCTCAGGTTCATGAGTTGGATCAGAAGAGCCTTGTGTCATGTTGAAGTGTCCTCAAGCTAGTCACCTGTTCGTTCACCTTTTTATGGACGCGAGAGCTGAAGGCTAACAATGTAAATGTAGCATTCGGCAGCTGTATTTTCTTTATCCTAGGGACCATTCACTTGTATGAAGACACCAGAGGATTTGTTCCGCTCGAGAGGGATTTAGCTCTCCTTTTGTAGCTGTTCCATTATTGCATTTTCCCCACGAGGCTCCCTATCGCTTCCCTGATAACACCATGCTAACGAGTATGGGATGCCCAGAGGACAGCGCTCATTCTCAGCAACATTAAACCTGACCCGCGTGTCAGCAATAGGATGAGGAAACAGGCAGGAAACTTCCCTGCTGCGCCACGGCAACGCAGCGTTTCAGAGCTCAGATTACAAGATGTCTTCCAGCAGGTCTATCTCGACCTATTTATCTGTTCCCGGCGGTATGCACAGGGGACCCTAGGTGCTTAAATGACTGAAGATTAACCACAACCATGAGAAACCTCGGCTTGACCCTCGGTGCTCTGCAAACAAAAAGGGATTATCACTCACTGATAGCAGGTTCCAGTTAAAACAAAGGAGCTTCTGTCTTGAGGCCCTCCTGCTAGCTTTTAGCTTAACCCTGAAGGAGCTCTGTGTGTAGCACTTTCCTCACTAGAGAGAAATACATGTAATACATCCTCGTGGAGTCAACAATTCCTGTGCCGTTTACTTTCTTCTGTGGGGGGAGTATGACCGACTCTCCTCCATATCTATAACACTGTGAGCCAGATGGCGAACATCAGTCTTGAACTGCATGTGATTATGAAGGTTTTCATCAGTTTTTATTGCCCTAGATTTTCCCTAGAATAATTACATTCTGTACTCAAGCAATACCCAGATGGCTGGTGTGCCGAACCTCCACAGTGATATTCATTAAAGCTTTAAACATGGTTTATAACTCTGTATATATATATTGTATGTATTACATGTCAGTTGAATCCAGACTGTCGGTACGTATATGAAAGTCATTTGGGCCTTTCTGATGTTTTACAGTTAGTTGCAAAAGTTGCAATGTAATGCTATAATAACCGTAAGATGATGAAAGAAAGTACGACTTTGTCTGAGCAAAATGCTAACTCACTTTCTGGACATATCAACATGTTCGCTTAATGTTTTTAAATTGACATTGTTTTATCAGTAGTGACCACACACTAAGCCAATAACAACATTGGATCAATGCTTGTTAATAAAGCAGTATAATTAGATTAATGAGTGCCGACTTTGCATTCATCTGTGTTAATAGTCAAATCATGTCTGTTCTATTGACATCGCCCAATATCACAAAGCACACATTTGCCTTAATGGGCTTTACAATCTGTTTAGCATACAAATCCTTTTCTCTTTGATTCTTTATCCAAATAAGAAAATAAACTTCCAAACAAACCCTGTTATAGCGAGGAAAAAATGCCAGTAATGGCGCATTTCCACTGCAGCGGGTAGCCCCGTTTAAGCATCCTTAATCGTCCTCAAGCGGCCAGGCCAGTTTTTGGTGGCCTTTCCATATAGCGTACTGTAGCACCGGTGTTGGTACCAGATTATGGGGCCATTTATGGGGCCAGAAAAAGAGGGAAAAAGTACCCGCTAGCCGGTGTCGGCGGTACCAGATGTGTTCGGGGTACCATATGTGTTCGGGGGCCGTCTCTTACCAATGACGTCACGCATTGTACGCATTGTGATTGGCTGTACGGTAATTTACCCAGGGGTGCTTGGGGGCAAATCACATCTACAGATCATGACGAATCGAATTGAAGTATTCCTATTCTCCTAAATTTACAGCCTTAAACTGGCGGACCATACCTAAACCAGGACGAACTCACGGCGATGTCGGTTAACCGCATGTCGTAACGAGCCAAAAAGTACAAAAGACATTGTAAAAAAAAGTGTTTGTANGTCGGCTTGGTCTTCAATAACAGGATACATGTATTTATTATCCTTGCAAGAATGGAAGTAGTCATCACACACAGGGCTGCGTTGGACAAATAGTTCCCAGAGTAGATATGCTTATATACAAGAGAGGGTGTTACAGTCAACAAGATGTCAGAATACAGGCTCAAAGCAGTATTCTGACATTAATAAAGATTAGCTAAGGCCTGCGTAAGCAATAAACATGACAGTCATATGCCTATCTCTCTAGGGGCTGTGTTATCATGCCAATCTTAGGAACATAGCTATCATAACTACAACACAGTGTCTCATGAGCGTCATCCATGTAGTCATACATCCGGCTACGTACACAGCTACGTACGGCCTCTCTTATCACGTGGTACTCTGATATAGAAGGAACATTCAGTATTTTCCCAACACATTCAATAGACAGATATGAGAATAATATCACTTTTAAAAAACAAAAAACTGCTTTTCCCAAAGTATCCAGCTATTTCTTTAATAAATTAAATAAATCATTATAAGAACATTTTAATGCATGTGTCTTTTTTCAATAGAGTATTATACATATTTCAACTTTTACAGTGACAGTCCAGTAATTAAGTACTGTAGTAGTAAATATAGTATGGTAGTAAAAGTATTGTATGTTGTTTTCTGCCTTTAGGGGATTTTCAATCAAACATCAAAAGCTGCTCTTGCTTGGGATCCATCATTGTGTCATTGCTCAGGAGGTTTTTGACAAATTAGGTGCAGAGGGTTTTCTGGTTTCGAAAACATTTCCTTTTGGTAAAGGCACTTTGAAGTGTGAAAATCGCTGTAATGCCCTTTTAAATAAAGTAAGAGATCCAATTTGTACTTTCCCCAATGATGGGCAAAATAACATCAAATACAGATGAGGGCAACAAAAGAATCAATGAAAACAAGATACAACTGTATAATTCCAATTACATCTGACTCCAAGCTAAATAACAAATATAAGCTGAACAGACACAAACCGTAATTGGTTTGAAACCCATAAGTCAATATTGTGTTGGCTTGCATCATCCTATTCTTTGTTCTTTCAATAAAGGGTTTATTACTTGAGTTGCTGCAATATTTCATTTTCTTTTAATGCAGACGTTCTGCAGGGGTTTACCTTCATAGAGAAATCAATCTCTAAGCACATTACTTCTGAACCCCCCGTGGGCACTGCTATTGGTTTGAAAATCCTCCGTCTGTTGGTGTGTTAGGTCAGGTCTTATCTGAGCCAGTTTGTGTGTGTGTGTGTGTGTGTGTGTGTGTGTGTGTGTGTGTGTGTGTGTGTGTGTGTGTGTGTGTGTGTGTGTGTGTGTGTGTGTGTGTGTGTGTGTTTGTGACATGTACTCAGGTTCACTGCCTAGGGCTGCGGGAGGAAGACAGCTCAGATCCATCGGTGAATAAGACAGGACACATCTGCATAAGCAGGGTGCAGGTGGCCATGTTTGTTTGTTCTGCTGGGATCCCATGGGTGCACTGATCAAAAATACCTGCCTGTTGGATTTTGCTAGATGAAGACATGTAGCAAAGAAGAAAAAGGGAAAAAGTAAATAACAATATCCAGCCACTTCTGAGTATAGGCTTGAAAACACCGCCTCTCTGAGCAACAGATGGCCGGGGACACAGTTCAAATGTATGCTTTTCCTTTGGTCAAGAAAGGTACAAAACAAGTGCCAGTTGTTTTGTTTGTTTGTTGTTGGTCTGCCTTATCCATTTGGGAAATAAAAAGCAACCAAAGCTTGGATAAAAGATGGACAACAACGTTTACTCAACTACAGATAAAGTGACACGTAAATATCTGAATGAGCAGAGAAACATAATGTCTTCAATCCATACAATGCATTATGGATCACTGAATGGTTTGGTCTCTATTATAAAATATATATACATATAAATAATATATCATACTCTTTTGTCTTCATATTATCTAGCTTTCATGCCACTTGAACAACTATTGGAATCATTGGAGTGAACTGTTTCAAGAAGGTGTATTTATTATCTATTCATGGGTCATGCTGTTACTCTGTGCTCTGTACACACCATCTTTACATTTCTATGATGGTTGAAAATGCTTAACTTGTTTGAGTCTGACGCTTTGTTGAACCATTTGAGCACCTTTTCCTTCCTGCAATTGTGTAAATGTCAATCATTGTGGACTTGTGTTTATTTCAATCACTGCAGTTTGAGTTTGTTGCATGTTGACATATTTTTCAATCCGTTCCTCTCCATTTTTAGACCAATGCTCCTGCATGTTAAGTAGCGATGATTTGGCCTCTTCCAGCTCTGCTAATTGACTCATGCTGATTTGAAAACTTGTTGATTGGCATACCCCTCTTTAAGCTAACAAATGTGTCTAATTGGCAATCAAACTAATAGGACACATCTTGGTGGCAATGTTTGTCATTGTGAGTTGAAGAGTCAAAGTTAATTTCCCATGAGACGTTGAAATTATTTGATGTCCTCTGTGTGTTAGTGTGTATGTATAACAGTTCTTGGCTTTAACTTTAGTGAAGTCAACATACCGGCTTAAAGCCTGGTACTGGACCCCTGCCAGTGACAGTGGCTGAGGAAAATCCTGCTAAAGATTTGAATCAACACCTTTGAGGGTTACAGCAGTAAGATTACAAAAGGACGTCATGGGCATAGTGAGGGTTATAAACCGGCAGGGTCAGTGTAATGGAAGCTTCTTCAGCACCAAGGACAGCACCACCGGTCTATGAAGGCAGGTGCAGAGAAGCCTCACTTTGTGCAGAGAGACCCGGTTTCATAGCATTTACAGTGCTTCTTTCAAGCAGTCAAGACTGAGATAAAAAAGTCTCAATATGATCTGGTCATTAAGAGAACCCAGGTTTAAGGTAGCTTAGAACGTGAATTGGTAGTTCATTGCTACATATACTGGGCATTTAGATCCACCTATTTATGGTACATGTTCTCCCAAATATAATTTATTTTCATGAAAAAAGAACTGTGGGACCTTGGGTATTAAGCTTGGATATGACTATTGTTGACGTTGAAACAAAGACTGCTTCTGCAAACCTCAGGCTAATTCTAAAGGTCACTGTTGTTGCTGCACTACAGCATTAAAACTGCAAGAATTAAACTGCAAGTTTCTTTGAAAGTACTCTTCATGCTAAAATTACATCTAAGAGTTTTAGGTGTTAAAGGTGGGGTAGGTAATTTTGGAGAAACCAGCTTGAGTGCACACAGAAAAAATCTGCCACTTCCTTACAGAGCCCCTCCTCCAACACACAGGAACGCGCACATGACCAATGAGGTTTGTGCACAGATGGAAGGCTGACAGGCAGGTAGGCCATCCAGTTATTTTAGCCGGGCCGGGTAGTACAGTACTACGGCTTCCACAGATGAAATTTTGTTATGGATCTTTTGACAAAGCACTTAAGATATTCATTGCTATCGGGATGTTAAGAGCATTCCATGGAATATAAAAAAAAGTGTATCTCGAGCCGGTTTCTCAAACTTACCTTCCCCACCTTTAACTTTGTTGAAATCTGTATATACAATCTATGCAGGAAGTCTCTAAATGGAAGATGGAAGCTCAATCCCAAAATGAGAGTATAGAGTAACATTAAAGTGGGCAATGAGAGCTTGTGATGGTTGTATATTAACTCTAAAAGTCAGAGAGCAGTCCTCCAATTCCCCACATTACTGAAACAAAAACACCAGAATAGCCACACTTAACGTAAAAGCCCATATCAGGTCTAACAGTTCCCTATATCCACTCACATAAAGCGGACTCTTAGGTCTCTAATCCACCAGTTATGTTGAGAGAGGATGATGAACAAAAAGGATCAATAACCCCCTCGATGAATGCACATACGGGCATTTAGGTATTGAATGATGAACCTATCCTTTAATGCTGCCGTTTTCAAGTGGGGATTTGTTTACAGCCTGTCGGATAGCCTGTAGCACATTGATCTCTGCACATCTTAATTGATTTATCCATTACAGCAAATAATGAAAGAATAACAACAACAACAGCATCACAAGATATTAAAGACATCCTGTGGTATTTGCACGTCAGATAAGTCAACAATAAAGGGACACAGGTTGGAAATGTCAAACACCTTCAGGCTTATGTTAAGAAAAGTGTGTGACCTTCATTAACCAAAACCTCAAACCCACTCAACTGAGGTCAACAACAATAACGCCCTGCTGAGAGGGTGAGTAGGTGCTTGATAGGAGTCCACTTAGTCAAATATTGTGTTTACTAGTCATAAGGGATGCTGTTGTTTATTTGATTCGTTTTTTTTATACAAATTGATCGACTACAGATAATGGAGGCAAATCGACTAAAAGCTTTTCTGTCAGTAGCTCAATGCCATTACCCTTGACACTTCGAGCCCTGCTACCCTCCCACCCGCTGGGCCGGTGTTTTTCTGTTTCTCCAGCTTTGCCGGTGTGGATTTAAAAATAAAAAGGAATAAAAGGCATCCTGGTCTTCGACCTCTGTTCTGCCGCCCGTTAAGTGCAGCTGCTGCAAAGTCAGGGTCAGGTGCTCACACAGCCACGGCTGAAACTGGGCATTAATCTTCATTTTATCATGTGGTGCTCTCTGCAAATCACATTTGCCTTGTACTTATACCTACACAATGCACTCGAACTCTTTAAATCATCGATGTTCCTATCCCCTGTTTGCTGATAACCACGCTTTGGAGGTGTCAGACAAGAGGAGAAGGAATCTGTTTGAATTAGAGAGAGACACTAAACATATATTAGAGGATGCTTTTGGGACTTTCCACAATTAATCTTCATTGGGGTTTCTTTTAAATAAATGCAGACACTCGCAGTCCACTCACTATCTTTTGTTGTCCAGTGAACCAGTCAAACATTCAGCATCACACTAAAGCTGATCTTTCTGGCAGACTTTAACTCAACAGCATATTTTGAATCCGCCTCATGCGGTGTAGGCTTCAGAGCTAACCACAAACATCTTGTCTCTCATCTGCCTCATGATTACATTGCCTTAAAGTATCAATCCCATTTAATTACTGTTATTATCATCAATGAGAAATTGCCAGCGCCCAAAACGGCAGGGTTAATTAGGCTTTCAGGGACGGAGAGATTATTTATTTGGTCTCCTGCAAAGGGAAGATATCAATTGGGTGTTAACTTTGCAAAGAGTCTGCTCTGCTTACTTTACCAGCTCTGTCAGAGTCTCCTTGGTTTTTGTTATTTCTGACTCTCTAGTCTCCCGCTGTCACTTCCCTTTCCCAACACTTCTGCTCCTCTCATCTGCCTCTCACCTCCTGACTCTTATTTTCTTTATTTTCCTTCTGTTCAATGTCAATTACAAATACAGTATCTTTACAATGGTCTACTGATGTGCTTTCAAATCAACAAACAAAATTACTTGATCTCTTCACCAACAGATGATAAAGGGTTACTGTTAGACCTCATAATGCAGGCTAGTGTTTTTAAATATGTGCTTTAGGAACGATTATTACTCTCGTTTGTGTAGCAACAATCCATAAAAAATGATTTCACACATCACCACGGAGCTCTCCCTGTTCTCCATCTTCAGAACGGCAGCTCTAGATTAAACTGATTTGATTTTTCTATTTAGATAAAGGTTCCCAAATCAGTAAAATCGGCTGTTGCAGAGATTTCTTTGAAATGAAAACCTGCCTACCCTTGGATCCTGAAGGCGCATGATTGCGAGCCACATCAGGCCAGTGGATATTAGTTCTGAGTAGTGAGCAATTTCATACCAACACAACTCTCCAAGACCTTATTTCACAGCTATAAACACCTACAAACCAGCGAAGCAAGAAATGACCATTAAGTCTAAATAAGACTGCTGCAGCAGCGTGTCATTGGAAAAACACGACCGGACACCACTGGTAAATAAATCCAACAAACATGTGTTCCCAAGGAGATGAACAAGAAGAAAAAGAGCTTACTTCTTGGGGGGCACCTGTCCAACGTTGACTCGGACGCAGATGACCTTACGAGTCTGCATTCCCGTGGAGCAGGGACCACCACCACCGCTGGCTCCGACTGCCGTGGAGGTGTTTAGGGTTGAAGCGGAGGGGTCTTCGGTACAAGGGCCCCAAGGACCCGTCTGCCAGTGGTAAACCGTACAGGCGTGTTCGTTACAGTTCCGAACCTCCTGAAGGGAACTGCTGTTCGGGCATGCACCTCCACCTGAGAAATACAAAAACACACTCCAGATGAAAAATGTACTTAATCAACTACTACTAAATTGCCTTTTTTTTTTCCTCTCCTTGCAGTGGAAGACCATATACTGAGAAGGGGGAGATATACGGACAGCATGTGGCAAAGGGGCGCAGGTCATATTCAACATAGCCTCCCACTTATTAATGAGCTACCTGAGCACGCTAATCACAATCATTTTGATTAGTATAGAAATATTCATCACAATTATTTAGTGATTTTGATGACCCAATGTTTTCAATGTTACTTTATATTCAAAAAAAGTGAGGAATACTCTCACTTTCTTTCTTGTGCTACATTCCTTCTGATAAGGGTCCTTGTTGTGCACAATCCCATCAATTGTTAGTCCCATCCCTTCTTCATCTGCCTGTCTCCCTCTTATTTCTCTCTGTCAGTCAGACAGTCAGTCGGTGTGTCGATGGAACCCTCTCAGGTTTAGAGTAACTGCAGACACTTAGGGCTTTCAGCAGAGATTGAGAGGCATTGAGGGATTTTGAATCCTCAACACCTGTATTTCGCTGTTGGAGTTGACAGAGAGCAAGCTCCATAATGAGTGGCGGTGCACACACAGTCGGGTCTGAATCACAGACTGCCAACTCAGATAAATCTCAACTTTTAGTTGCCAAGCATGACTACCGATCTGCTGACAACGGAGCTGACTAACAATGTCCCAACACTAGCATGATGAGCATTAGCTGCTGCTGAACAATGACCTAGAAAGTCTGCATGTTGGACAATGGGGAAAATGTGAAGCCGCTTACAGAAACACAAACCAGAAACAAAACAAAGAAAGCCAGCAATGATTCGTGTTTGCAGGATAAATTACAGTTTGCTGGCTCATTCACAAAGCGCTGCATCAATTTTCACTGAGCAAGCATCTTGAATTTCATTCAACTAAATTAGTCAGAGGCACTTGGGCTTCATAAAGTCCCATAATAATCACTGTGAATAAAGCGTAAGCAGTTATGCTAAAGAGGTCATTAATTAGGCGTATTGCTGTATTAATTAGCACAAGTCAAGATATTGGTGGTTGCTTATTAACGTGAACCTTTAAGGAAAAGCTTTGAGTAGTTCCTGTATTTTAAACTATTTTTCATTAATATGCAACACAAGAGCTGCAAAAGCTGCTAAGGAGCTTTGAGTCTTATCAGATAATCTACTCTGCAGAGGGAACCTGTGGTGGGGAGACGTCTTTCAGGTATTGTTCTTGAGCATGTGTGAGAATATGTCTTGATTACGTTATAAAAATGTGTGTCAGAAAACACAGCAGGATATGTTTTGATATGATTCCATCAGATTTTTAAAACATACTAAAGCTAATACAAGTACAGCTACTATACTTCTAGTCTAACATCAAGAATTTACCAACTAGTTCTGGAAACCTGGGCACCCGTATAAGACCTTTGATAAAGACAAATATTAAATATATGAATGTGATAGGTGAGGCATGCAGTACATACAGTAATACAACTGTAGAACAACAGAATAAACACATTCAAACTATTTCACACATGGCCAACAAGCCCCGACTGCACTACAACGGGGTGAATACAATCTAAATACATTATAAGTTACCCTAAAGCTGTTATGATAATGTTTTGAAGTTCAAAAAAATGAAGTAGACACACAGCTAGAGGTTTAAAACAGCTACAATCCTATTACAACTGTTACCCTCCATCACTGTGATCCACGCCACAACCATCGCAGTGACTGTGAGGAAAACACACACACCTAGATAAGATGCAAGAAAATGTTTTGAAACATAACAAAAAAGAAAAACAAAAAGAAGAACAGACGCAGACAGAGATATAAACCAGAAAAAACAAGAATAAGCAGAGAAATGATCTTAAAAAACGGATAAAAAGTAAGTGTCAGGCGAGGCGACAGACCAACAGAAATAATCACCAGGACAGATAAGCAGACTGCGTGAGATAAGGACAAATGCACATGCAGACAAGTGTGAAATCTAAACATTCAGTGAGTGACAGCAGAGGACGACTTGAAAGGCCATGAGGAAGTCAATATCCGGGCCTCATCTGCATACATCTCCATACTGAATGTTGCAGAACTCACCTTCCCCGGCGTTGTAGGCCAGGATGGAGCGCGTCCTCATCTGCTTCCCCTCGATGGTCTTACTGGAGCAGGTCTGGGAGCAGCTGGTCCAGGGTGTCCAATCACTGAGCACGCAGTCTCTTGAGCAAGGCACCTCACAGGCCACGGGCTCTGGAGCCGGGGAGGACGTGCAGAGCTTCCTGTCCACTTCCGCTCCTGAAGAAACAAAGGGGGAAATAACACAGTAACTATTTTCTATTCTCTATACTTGGAAATATATGATGTAATTAAAAGACTAGGGTACTAATCTAATTGTGGTGAAGTAATAATATATTCATGTTTTATACTAATGGGTTTTGAGGAAATCAACCTCAGTAATTACCAAAAATGATGCTGAAAATGAAAGAGAAAGGCAGCCACTATTCGCAGTTATTGCACAGAAACTCCCAGCTGTGTTTTTATGTAATAATGTTTTCCGGGCCTAAAGTACTTTATTGAAACTCAAAACAGATGGTTTTGCATTTCAAAACTTGGTTTATTGGTTATTTATTTGAACATTTCCAGATGTGTTTTAAGGTAAATGTTGTTTCTAAGAAATGACCGTCTGTGTTTCCAGGTAAAGACTCTGGGTACAAACTTTAAAGTGTTATGTGGACTTGATAGCCTAAACAGGTGGTTTTGTTTGAGTATTTAATTCATTGTAATTACTTTCTCAAATAGGATATGTGCTTTGACATAAACATTGTTATTCTAAGAATGGACCATCTGTGCTTCCAGGAATTAAATCCGAGTATGTTTCAGAATAAGTTTTATGATATTACATAAACATAATATACTGTATAGGGAATATTTAGCAAATAAGGGAAGAGAAATTGTATTTTACTTTTAATTACTAACAATTAAAGATGGTTCTCTCAGGGAATTTCTTGAGATAGTAAATGTAATGTAGAAATAATAGTCCACTATATGAAAAACTAAACCTATATTACTCTTTATTAAAAGATAAAACCCTAATATTACCGCGATATAAGTATCAGTAGAGCATGAGCTGACCTGTTTATGTTACCAAACTGCTACCATAGCAACATAAAGGGCCACCTTTTCTTAGTATTATCTTGTTTTGTTTACCTGGGATTTATCACAATTGCTTGTGTGCGATATTTCATCCTTCTTTGTACACATGTGACTGCCCTATAAATCCAAACCAAACCTTGGGCAATGAATATAAACTTGAGGGCTCAAAGATTCATTGCGAGAATGAGATTATCACCCTCAGATTTCTCTTCAGCACAGAGTCGGTGGCAGCAGTGCGAACAGCTGTCTGTGTGTCTTAATTGATGGCGCGATGTCAAGTACACAGCCCATTCTGAATTTGAGAGACGTGATCGTTTTCTTAAGACGTCTGTTTTCTCTAAGACAACTCGGGTAAAATATAATATAAACTGGCACAAGTAGCAATTTAGCATTCTTTGAATGATTCATGTGTCTGGTTTATATGTCGACATAAGGAGACGATTCAAAACAGACTGCATAAGCAAAAAAAATGTTTCCTAGACAGCAGTCAGAGAGTATTCTGTCCAGAAAAAGAGATTTATTGAAGCAGTCGATTGACTTCCTGCTCTTTTTACACTGTTTGATAGGAAACCAGGCCAGGTTTGTAAACATCAGGATGGACTGTGGCATTTACTGACATCTCATTCACAGATTTATAGGTAACATCAACCTAACTTCATAAGTTATAAAGCCTGTCAGTTATTTATTGTGTTCTGTGGGAATCTCCAAGCGCTGAAGTTGCCTTTTAATCCCACATTTTACTATGTAAAACTGAAACACAGACTGCTCAAAGAACCTGTAAAATATCTAAACCAAGCACCAGCAATTGCTAACAGCATTTAAACCAGTGACATCTCTGTTACTCCTGGATTTACATAAGTGCGCTTCACCACAGAAATAATTCAAAACATTTCACTCTTGAATTCCACATTGACATGACAGTTGATTACAACCCCTTTTATGGATTATCTGTGTTTTATATATTCATAGTGAAGCACTCTTGACTCCGGACAATCTCCATACTAAAGTGGCATTGAACACGGGCAGAGCAGACTCACATGGGATTCCCACATGTGTACACTATTGTCCATGTTTTATTAATGAGCTCCTAGCATCAGCGATAAGTGGATTATATTAACCCACATATTCCTCTGTGTTGCTGCATTTGCTGCCATGAACTAAGCAGAGCAGATTTCCTATGTAAGCAGTGCATACACCCACGCAAATATAAAGCTTTCAGTGGTTGAATTGAAATTGAATTGAAATTGAGGAGAATCACTTGAACTTCAAACGTCAGATCGGGCCGGACTTTGCATTAAGATGTCACTTTGACAGATGTGCAGTGGAGCAATCATGGGTGAACTGAGAAGGCGTGAAAATAAGAAGCGACAAGGGACTCAAGCAGCTTTCAGGCTAACACACAGAAAACATGAATGAACCTCCCACTATGAGAGGAAGACCCCCATGCTTAGAGTGCACAGGAGGAGCGGCTCCCAGTCTAAGTGGGCAGGCAGTCAGCATCGGGAATATCAATAGCCAGTTTCAATAACATTTGTATCGACCTTCGTCTCTTGTCTGGGGCCCGGCTGTGTGGCCTTTTCTTTTATGACCACGACACACTTGGAGAAAAAAATATACAGCTGACATTGCATCGAGAACTCTCTGAGGCGAAACGCGAACAGAAAATCCAAACAGAACAAATCAATTTTCATCAGATGAGGGAGTGAAGGTGGGGGGAGGATCAATCCACCGAAGTCAGGAGAGAAAGAACAGAGTCTGTGTGAGTCCTGCAGAACAGGTGCAGTAATAACCGGGCCAACTTCACCAAAACACCTGCACTTAAACAAGGAACTGTGAGGAGACGATAGAAGGACAAATCAAGTTCTCTAGTAGAGAAAACACGAACAAAATGACCCCACATTATCACAAACTAAGATTTACTGAGTGCTTCTGGGACTTAATATGCTTTCTATAGGTGAAGTTCATTTTTGAAAATGCTAAGGTACTTGTACTTTACTTAAGTATTTCAATGTCATGCTTCTTTATACTACTACTTCACAAAATCTCAGAGGAAATATTCTACTTTTTACTAAAGACACAATACTATATTACTAACCAGTAGTATACAAAGTGTAAATGTGTTACATACTCTTACATCTATGTATTAGTGATACCAACATCATTACATATTATAATACACTACTGTGAAATGAGACTGTGTAGTATTTTTACAGAAATAAACATAGTATTTCCTCCTAGATGTAATCTACGCTTTGCCAGAAGAATACAAATCAGATGTATTATTTTGTATAACATTTGCTCACAACCTGAGTGCAAAAGGAAAGTCTGGAAAGCGTATCTGTACCACTGCACCTTATATATTAAATATTAAGAGTTAAAAAGCATAGCTCTAAAAATCAGGGGCGGCAAAGAGCACTAGATACTGGAAGACCTGGGGCCACAGAGGATTGATTTGATTTAGCGAGAGTAAGGTTTAATTGTGCGTGCAGAGAGGAAGACTGTAATGAGACACAGCGTGAGAGGGGTGGCAATGCTGAATCAAGCAAGCGTTAAAGTAGGAGAGGTTTAACAGGAGGAGCGAGAGTCGAGGAAGGAGGCCTGGAGGGAGAGGAGTCTGGAGAGAACTCTCACACAGTTGATGAATAGGGCTGAGTCCCTGAAATCTCCTCACGTACAGAGTCTACTGCCAGAGTACGAGGGTCAGTGGAGGGGTGATCTTGGAAAATACTTGATTTTGCACCCAAGGTCAGACCTGCACTTCTTATTGCTAATGGAGGTGGGTCAAAAAGCACTTCACACTGTAAGAGTGATGAAGAAGAAAGTAGGAATTTGATGGATGATGTCAATCAACAAGTGCTGTCTCTAGGGGAATAATATGTTGTTTTTCTACTCATTGCTTTATTAAGACAATTGACCCTTCTTTACTCTTACCAAGAGCATACTGTAGAACAGTCACATATTTTACCCTTAGATGGTCATTTACATGGATCCTCTGCTGGACTTTCAACTCTCTTCAATACACCCTTTAAGCCCCTGTCACACTGTCCCGAAATTGACACCCGATGGACACACGAATATGGAATTGTGAATTTCGCACGAAGATGGCCCCGAACCACACACGAAGGCAACATTTACATTACATTTAAGACATACAACTGCAACGAAAGTAACACAAACAATTATGTTAAAGTATTATGATACTGTACTGATATTTTCCGAGTTTGTTCTTTACTTTCTCCGTCTTTATATGTAGAAGATATTACATTTTCTCCGTCATGTTGTTTCCATAACAACAACAACTTCTTTCTCGCATTCAAAATAATATATTATATCCTTTTTAGTTTCACAGAACACAAATTGGGTTATTTACATAATATGTTTACATGATTTTGTTGTGCAATAAAACAACCAGATGGACACACGATAGAGGAAATGTTCAAATTCGGCTCTGATCGTAACAACATCGGGCCATTCGTGAGGGCATCTTAAGCCTTCGTATGACCGCCGGTGAGTCGCACTCTCCCCACCGTTACGACTTAGTTCGTTCGCAATTTCATCCTCTCCAAATTGTCCTCCTCGCTCTCAGCTCCTTCCTCCGGACCTCCCTCTCCTCAGACCTCTCTTGAGAGTGTGTCAACTACTTATCCCGACTCAGGGACTTTAGAGGAGTGCATGTCTCAGATGACGGTCTCATGCTCCCAGTCACCTCCCCACTAGAACCTTTTATGAACTAAAACGTGGGTTCCAGTCTGGACGTGAAGAATAACGATTACCTCCACCCAGTTTTTCGTGAAGTGTGACATTCTCACTACTTCTTCTTTCATCCTTAAACTACCTACTACAGTTAGTTGTTCACGACAGAGATCCCCTTATTATACAACAAAAAGATGAGTAACGAAATAATTCTGTTAACTGGGAAGAAATGAGAATGGTTCTCGTATGACATCTTGTCAGTGTATAAAATGGGAATCTACCAGTAAATGTACCTAGGAGACGACCTGAAAGTTGAGAGAAGTTATGTGGGAAATTCGGGGACAGTGTGACAGGGCTTTAACTGTGGGCTACCTGTGTGCTTATACCTTAACACTTAAAGCGTGCTTCTACCGGGGCTTGGTGTGTGCTTCCGTTGTAAATGTAATGTAAATTCTGTATGTTGACGTTGCTTTCATTGTGTTTGTTAATACAATTTCATAATACTATGACATGACTATAAAAGGCTCAAACAAGAAATGAAAGAGGCAGAAATATACATCTTCTATAATGTAAAAGAGGCAGTACAACAAAGGTATTGTTGTTGTTGAAGAAAGAGCGTAAGTTTTATTATATAATATAGGAAAAATCAAAGTGTCTTGTGTTTAACCCAATAAATGTATTATACAAATGTACTAAAACAACACGTTATTTTGTTGGTCTACCTGTGTGCTATCTCCTTTACAAGTTTAAGCCGAGACTAGCATTGTTGTAGCCCGGTAAGCACTCCCGTAGAATTCGGAAGCATACTGGCGGCCACTTCTAAACGGTGGGCGGGGGTTCAACGACGGCCTCGGACTATTTAAAGGTGGCCGCCAGTTGCTACCGAATTCTACGGGAGGCTGCTCTACGGAATGCTTCACGCCTTACCTGTGTGCTTCAGTTGTGCTTTTACTTGGAAATGCCTTCCAGAAGGCCGTTACGAAACGCGGCTACGGTTTCTCAACGGGTGGCGAGGGCTTCAACCGACGGACCTCGGANGGACATTCAATGCTGCAGACATTTTTATGTTCCCTTCCCCAGATCTGTGCCTTGATACAATCCTGTCTCTGAGGTCTACAGTCAATTCCTTGGACCTCATGACTTGGTTTGTGCTCCTCATATAGAGAGATGTGTTCCTTTCCAAGTCATGTCAAATCTATTTAATTTACTACAGGTGGATTCCAACAAGTTATAGAAACACTTCAAGGATGATCAGTGCAAACGGGATGCACTTGAGCTCAGTGTCATAGCAAAGGGTGTGAATACTTATGTACATGTGATATTTCATTTGATTATTTTTAACACGTTAGCAAAAAATTCTTTAAAAGCGTTTTCACTTTGTCATTATGGGGTATTATGCGTGGAATATTGAGAAACAAAATTAATTTAATCCATTTTGAAATAAGGCTGTAACATAACAAAATGTGAAAAAAGTTAAGGGGTATGAATACTTTCCAGATGCACTGTACTGTAGATGTTGGTGATCTACTTGATTTGGTTTGATGGCTGACTTGTTGAGACAGCTCATTAATACTAATTTGAAGATGAGGAAAACCTGTTTTCCCCACATGGACAGAGCTCAATGCTGCCATAAATCTTTTTTTTTTGTTTTATTCATTTATTTAACAGGGACAGTGCACATTAATGAACATTTCTGTAAATGTGCCAGAGTTAGCCAAGAGGCTATTTTTCATCTGTAGTTCCTGGACAGATTTTATAAATCAACCTAAAACTAATTTCATTTTAAACAAGTACATACAACACATTTAAAACATGCAACAGACATTACTGGGATACTTAAATAAAACAATTTAAAATTCAGAACATTAAAACAAAACAAATAAAACAAAACAAAAGAACATGTTAAAACACAGGCAGTGGGTTTTAAGGAGCAGAACATTGGGTCAGTGTTGGCAGAGCTGATTCCTCACTAACCATATTTTGAGTTTTGATTTAAATAAAGTGAATGTGGTCTGGTCTCTGATTCGAGATGGGATTAAGTTCCATTGCTGAGCAGCTTTAACAGAAAATGAAGACTGACTGAAAGAACTTTTTCTGAGTGGAATAATGCAATCTCCTCTCGCTGCACCTCTTGTTACCCTAGTTGCAGTTGTGCGTATGCTAATAAACTGTCTAAGAGGAGGTGAGGTGAGGCTGTTGACAATCTTGTAGAAAAGATATCTAATTTACTATGGAGTGAGTTTCTTTTTACTTCCAGTAATTTCACATAAGAACATTTATATTCTGTTTAACGATGAACCATGTCATGCAGAATATCACACAGTGGCATTTCTTATAGGCTTCAGTGAACACAACGTTGGTCACTCCCTTGCCCTTTCACACAAATTTTATTCGATGAGTGTGTAATATTGCAGGAACATTTTACTTTATCCAAACTATGAATCATCTGGTTGAACAACTGCTAAATGCTGCCATTAAAAGGTATAGTTTATACTGAACGTGTTCTGTAATACAAATAATAATAAGGAAGATTCCATCCTCATGAGTGCAATCAGAATCAACAACAATGTTTTACCAATCTCTTAAACAAAATGAGATTATATAAAATGTTTAGTGGATCTTAGACAGAATTTACTACACTGTAAAAACAAAGCATTGACTATTTTACAACCTTGTATTTTCAAGCTAATGCATGAGAGAGAGAGAGAGAGAGAGAGAGAGTCGGTAAAGGAAATGAAAATAATTATGATAAAATCCAATACGCTGGTATACTAAATAGAAACAAAAGCAGAAATTAAAATAGGAGGCCATTGTTGTTTATCACAGAGTTAAGTAGTCAGCGAGATTGATAGGGGAATGAAATATGATGCTTATTTATAACATTGTTATCTTCAAAAGAACCACAAAAAGGAAAACTAATACACAGGGGAAGGCAAGGTAGGTGGGCAAATCAGAAAAAGCTTCAAACATTGAAACAAGCTTGAGATAGCAGGGTTCAAAAATAAAATCATAATTATCACCAGTTGGGACTGTGTCGTCTTACCTTTCTTTCCAGCCTGATCATCACAGTTTTCGAAGGTGCACGGCCCCCAGGCCCCCCAAGGGGAAACCTCACAGTCGATTGGACAGGGGATTTGGCAAAGCTGGGACCTGTTGGGAATCGGACCCTCGCACAGCTTGTTTTCCACTGGGAGGGAGGCTTTGTAGATGATCAAAAAGGAAAAGAAAATAAGCAGCTGATAAAAATGAACCTGCTTTACTTTGATGCTATTCTGGTTTGTCTTTATGTGAGGAAGTTTTACCAGAATAATAATCAAAAGGAACAAAAGGGACATACAAATGCTTATGTGCTGTTATTCCAAGCCTTAGAGTCCCTACAGAGAGCAAAACCACAGCGGGGAAAAACTAAATATGCTTGTGAAGTAAACACTATTATACCTTTATTGTTTATTGCCAGACTGTAAGCATGTCACAATGATACATTTGCAATTATTATCTCATGCAGCACCTTGGAAGTAACATAAAACATTGTGGACTGGAGCCTTGCCCACAGACCTCACCTGAGACAGGAGAGGATGCAACAATACAACACTAAAGTTGAACCAGAGCAGTGACAAAGTCTTGGCTCATATATATACCAGGAGGTGTAATTTGGCACCTTCTGTCCATAGTCGTGCCAAGATTTACAAAGCCACCTTTCTATGATGCAAATGGTAAGCTCTGTCTAAACTCCCACCGAGGAACTTTGTGGAAATAAAATGGTAAGATGCTATCGCAATGCAAGGCGCAGCTCTGTGCAACTACACATTTCTAAATATCTGATGAATCGTGCCAAGATGAATACATTTGATGTGTGGAGTTTCTGGAGATACAGAGTTTATGCATTTATGCATGCACATAAAATATGCATGGTGGTGTCTATTTCATTTCAAACTAGCGCTTCTGTATCTTCAAGAGCTGTGCATCTATGTTTCTTTTTGAGTCTGATATGATACGAGAAGGTGGAGATTGATGGGAAATATAAAAACAGAGATGAAGAAAGGGGGTCGCCTGGTCAGAACAGAGCTCAGAACGTGGCAGTTATGTGGTAAGGGCCTTACGGGAGAAATATGATATATTTTGAAACAGTCTTACATTTGCTATTTTGCAATTAGTAAGATGTGAAGACCAATACTAATCTTGTTTGTTGGTCTCGACAGCAATTGTTAATCTTAGCTTAGCACAATGAATGGAAACAGGGGGAAACAGTTGGCAAGGCTCTATCCAAAGGTAACTAAATGCACCTATTGGCCCCTTAAAACTCACCCACTAACATGTTGTCTTGTGTTGTGTTTAAAATGTGGTGTAAAAATTACGTTTTTGTGGTTTTGTTGGGGTAAATAATAGCATTTAGAATGTAAAAGTAAATCTCACAAAATGCCAGCAACACCACAACATTACATGTACAATACAAATTAAAGACATGAGATACAACATCCAACATTAAGTGATAGATGTAACGGTAGGTTGATTGTGTTACCTTTAGACATGATCAAGCTACCCCCTGAGCTGAGACTGTTCTAAGCCAACTACTGCATGTGCTGCTTTGTATTTTTCTAAATGTCTTCCTAAAAACAGCAGCCCGACAGGACTCTGCCTCAATGCTTGCAGGTTGTCATTGGTGATAAGAGTGAGTCCTGCTCACTCAGCAGACAGGTTGAACCCCCTGCCTGGAGCTCCACCCTCTGTTTAAACCTTTCCCTTTTCCAGCTGCACACACAGGCAGACATGTGCAGCTAGGAATCAGACTTCATTCTAAAATGCAATCGATACCTGTGAATACCTGGTATAAAAAAGCATTTAAAAAAACAAAACATGAGACATTCTTTGTCCAATCTTTACAAAATATAATGAGATATAGATCAAAGGTGCGTTTTTAGCGCAGGGGCTTAATAGGGTTTATCAGCGGCCCTTGTAGTCAACAGTTTGAAGTGTCCTTGGGCGAGATAGTTATCTCAGATTGCTCCTGGGCTTGTTGTATTGGTATTGAAGAGTGTGAAAGTCACTTTATATAAAAGTATCAACTAAACAGACTTTGAAGTCAAAATGTAATAAAAATCCTAAAATATGGGCTACTCTAAAGTGAGTGTAGTGGTGGTTTTATCTCATGTTGTAAACTCCATTAACACCTGTTAGTGAGAGTACATTTCATTTTAATTTGATGGTACTGCAGCAAAGCTAAACACTGACTTGGCACCATCTGTTTGAGATATTTCAAAGTTCTGATGCTCAAAATTAAGACATCAGTGGTGGAATGAAAGTTCTATAAATAAATCTACATATAAAAGACTTTACTTGGCAAATTATAAGGATGGATTGATCTCTACGTTTCAAGTAGTGAGTGATACATTCGGTTAATGGCGGATATTAAGTGATTCATAAAAAAAATCTCTTTACATGTTCAACCTGAGGCACTTCATTTCCTGTATTCCAACTGCTCGTACAAGACATCCAAGAGCTTAAAGCCTCACATAGTCGAGAGAGCTGAATCATAATTCCCTCAGAACTGTACAAGGGAAGGAGGCAAGTGGGGCTTTTGAAATGCAAAATGGCTAATTCCTCTTACAAATACACTGAAAGTCAAATACTGAGTTTGCTGAGCCACTGTTAATCCACATCTTATTCGAGAACTACACTGACTTCAATCTTTTGACATCAATCCATTTGAGAATACAACATTGAGGACCAACAGAGTGGAGGAAAGAAAGTTCTCTACTCTTCTATTAGTATTTTACACTGAGCTCTCCACTGAGTTACATTTTTTCCTAGTGTTCTGAACTGAAATCCCTCATGCCAGTGTGGCTTACTGTCTGCAGCGGTGGAAAACGTCTCACCATCCATATTCTGTTTGTGGGGGAACAAACTCTTCTGCCCGGATTTTGAAATGAGAATACAGAACGTTGTTGTAATACTACTTGTCCTTTTGTTGGATTTGGCAATAATACTGAGCTGTCTGGATAAAGAGTAGCAGTCGGGGTTTTCTAACTTTGTTGAAATGTTGAGTACCGTTGAAGTCATCAGAAATCTTAAGCCTCACAGCGGGGGGGGGGGGGACAAACCGTCAAGTGTTTAAATCAATATATGAATCGTCAGAACCACATGTTTTTCTTTTTTTCCTTGATCCATTATATGTTAAAGAGCAAAGTGAAGAATACGGCTAAGAGAGAGAAGAAGAAACATGGACTAAGACGAGAGGAGAGTAAGGAGAAGGTAGAACTGGAGAGGGAATAAGCAGGAGAAACCATGACTAAGAAAGAGGAGAGGAGACAAGGAATGTGGATAGGAGAGTAATCAAGGATAGATATGAAAGAATAAGGAAGGGTATATAATGAAGAGAGACTGACAATGAGAAGGGAGTAAAGGAAAAGGAAAAAAGAGAGACCTGGGAGGCATAAAGCAGAGGGAGAGGCTGTAGTTTGGTTATCAGCGTGACTAAAAACACCTACCTGTGATCTGGAAGGTGACGGAGAGGAGAGGGGGGACACTAGGCTTCTGCTGTCTTTGGGTCTGACCCGCTGTAATTACAGGGGAGATAGCACTATTAGCTACGCACACACCAGGGGGACCAAGGCACTATCAAACAAACACAGTGAGGGGGAAACAGCACACAAGAAACTAATGCTACAGCAGAAGCAGGAGGACAGCAGGGCCTCATATCCTGGGCTTGTTTATAATATCAGTTTTTTATATATTTGGTCTGTTGGTGATTCCTTGATGGTTAGTTTATACTGATATGACACATTTGGACTCATGGTGTTAGGTCAAACACCATGTCTTTACTGACCATGCTATCTTATCAGGATACATATTTGTGTGTTAAAGGAGAAACATTCATCAGATTCCAGACATGTTCACTTGAGACTGAATAAAGTTAGGCTTTTTCCAGGCCTTTTTTCAGTCCAAAATGTTGTGCTTATTTGCAGTCTTTCTAAGATTGAGATTTATAAAAAACTGTGTCACTCTTCTATCTGTTAAGAGTAAGGATGTCTTTGGCTTGGGGTAGCATAAAACAATTTGCTGCAGGGGAAACAGCTAGCTTTTCTCGGATAAAAATACACCAACGGCTGTAAGGTAAAACAAAAAAAGAAATGGTTAAACATCAGTGTGTGTTTAATGAGGAGCTAAGAGCTGAATTTCTTGTCAAACCACAGCCAGAGATAGTGACTGTGTGTAGCATCCCTTAAGGCTTGTCTGTAAGTTAGAAACTGTTTTTAGATGTATTTTGTACACATTTAACAAACAGCAAGCATTGTGTAAATATGACAGAGATGTCAAAGATGTTGGAGGATATATTTAAAACTTCTAAAAGAGCCAAGCTAGCTCTTAATGCTAATATAGGCTAACCATGTCCTAACCCCAACTCTTCAGTGAACACGCATACATGCGATATATACAGATTTTTCTCTCAGAATGAAAATGAATACAGTTAAGGTATTTTCTAAAGTTGTGAACTTTTTTTTTTTTCATAATTTAAGCATCAAACTGTAATTTTGGTGCAGTGTGAGTTTTCAAAGAAATGTTTCTAACCTGCAATGACAGTATGAACTTACATATTTGAATAAATCTCCCTTGCTACACTTGGTGTTCATTCACCTTTAAAGGGCTTTTAACTCAATCTTCTTGTCAAATACTGTGAAAGGTGACCGAAATGTCAACTCCCATAGGGTTGAGACAAGTGGTAAAGGAATCCATATACTCCAGCAGCTGAGCAGAAATAAAACAAACCTTATTGAGCCTTAGCTGAGGAAGTGCCATATGACATTTCTTAGGCTGCAGTACTGATCTAAGGTTAGATAAGAGCAACCCCCTGTAAAGATTAAGTTTAAGGATAAGGAGGTGGTAAACCGATGCCAGATCTTTGCCTACATGGTGATTTTTATTCATGAGAGATGGGAGGAAGAGCGTTGGTTGCAGCAGACTCCACAGAGCACTGCTTGCCTCTTGGTCTCAGTAGTATGCTGGGAGATTACCCCCCAACAGAGGGGAAAGAAATCCTGCGCCAAGAAGATAAGAAGTTTGTGCGGATTGTATGTGTGTGTGAGTGTTCGCACAAATACACGTCACACACATCTCTAGCCCTGACACTAACGTGTTTGTATAGATGAATCTTTAACTGTATTTTAATTGAGGTTATATAGGTGCTTTAACATGTAAAGGCGCTCCAGTTTCAACGCAGGTACATACACTGTGTGCTTTCACTTGTCCTGTAGCCACTACAGCACTTAGGGAGGGCATACGATATCACAAAGTACACATGAAATATTCATTCTTCTATTGTAAAGTCTGCGTTGTCCGGACATTGTCTGTCGATGGATTTAATCTTGGAGACTCATTATTCTTTCATTAGGGCTGATACACAGAGGACTGCAGATCAATCTAAACTCTGAGAAACCATGCTTTACTGCCAGCTTTCTCTTCAAAAATCATCCATCAAGAATGAATTCAACATTAAGATAGTTTTACATTAGTATTTTAGAAAGAAGGCAGTGTATTATGCTTTCTAGCTGCCACTAGCTTGAGTTGCATCTGATATCAAGTTTTTGCGAATGGTCCTTCCTGAGTTCTCATCATTCTTTGATTAGGGTATTACTCTTTAATACATTTTTTTGACTTGACATGACAAATTGAAGATAACTTTACCAAGGAAAACCTAGCACAGCATGTGTCAGCTGAAATTGACAGAAGCCTTTATTCCCCTGTTCAAAAAAGACATTATTGACAATGAAGTTATTGCTTTAATAATAATTGAACATGATTTTATTATATAACTCCATCTTTAATTTCCTTACCTGTGTTTCCCTGTTTAAAATGTTGTTTTGGAAAAGTTTAATATCAACATGTTGAACATCTCCCTACATCCACCACCTGCACTAAACCCCACCATATTGGACAGACTGATCTTCAAGCTGTTTGCGTGAGGAGCACCTCTTCACAATCAGAAGAAAGGTTAGACTTTGTCACCCTCTCTCACGCGATCTACACTGTTGGTCTCCAATAAGCCTCATCTAATGTCTTTAACACCCTCCTTAAGAGGGCAGCTTTGACTCTGAGCTGGCTTGACAAGTGTCACAAATGGAGGCCTTTGCATTGGTGACCAGTGAGGTCAGAGCTGGATTTACAGGCATCAAAATCCTTGTTTTAAATGACATCTGCTTCAAGTAAAATGGCGGGTAAGGATGTAGGAGTAGAAGGCTTTTTAAATGTTAACAGAAAACCTGCACCTGACAGCATAGCAACAGCATGAAAAGGAGAGAAGATAAACAAAGCACACATTGACTATTAACACAAAGGGAATATTGTATGTCATTGTATATTTGGACATCAGTCAACATGACGTCTTACCTCTGTTGGAAGCATTTGACATGCAATTATCTGCTACACATCCACAGAGAGACTGAAGTTCTCATACACAGTGTGGGGGCTTGACGGATGTAAGTTGTCATGTAACTGCACTAGATCAAATGTATTTGAGTTACACTTGAGAGTTCAGCTAATTTGTTTCAAGCTACGCTGTGTAAGGGGGAAAGATTTGACATATGCAACTGTGCTGTTGACTTTGGTTACAGTATTGAAGGAAGATGCTACACAGCGTCGTGAGATCAATAAAACAAAAATGTGCAATTTATAAAAAGGAATTTATGAACAACATGAGGATACAAACATAACAGAGGACAGGTATAGAGCACAAAAACAAAAATACCTGGAAAAACTGAGCAGCATTTTAAAGTGAAGAGCAGCACGTGTTGACATAGGTTGCTAGCTTACTGCAGCTAATGTCAGTACAGCTGGTACACTGATCATTTTTGGCAACTAAACACAGACTGTACAAATGATTCAGACTGTCAATACCTCTCAAAAAATGTCAGTGAAAAAGTATCTGGAGAAAAGTATTTAGGATGAGTATTAATAATAACATGGGCCTTTTAACAAAATATTTACATCCCAGCACTAAAAGTGAACTTTTTTTAATGAGATGCATTAATGTTACAGAACAATGATTCCTTACCTTTCTCCTTTTCTTTGAGGTCGTTGAGGTATTTGAGAAGCTCAGCATTGGCCTGGACGCAGTAAACTTCTCTGGTTTGTAAGCCTCCCCCACAGAGACCTGTCAGGTTGCCACGTCTACGGTCCTGTTGGCTTAGCAACGAGTCAACCCGGCAGTCGCTCCACTCGGTGCTCCTCCAGGTGTAGCTACAGAGGAAGAGCACATGGATGTTGTGTGTGGGTGTCGCGAAGTGTCAAAGTAGAGAAGTTCATCTTGCAGATCTAACTCAAACACCTCAGGATGTGTTGCAGTAACAACCATTTACTACCAATAACTTATTCTGAAAACATGATAAATTGCACGTTTCAGTAAAAGCTTCATTTAAAATGGTCTTACTCATTCCCTGCTTGATGATGACTTTGGTACAAGACACCAGCACGACAGTACATTCAAATCACAGGCTTCAATATACGCTGTCTTCCCTATATAAGGAGCAAACCTATGGAACTTTCTACCAAACCCTAATCAAAATGCAACACAATGTTAATTTTTAAATCAGGCTGAAAGAGAAACAACATTATCCTTCACTAAATACTCTGAAGATACAACATGCCTGTTTCATGTGCATAGTTGGATGCATTTTCTTTTCTTTTTTATATTTCAATACATTTTTAAGCTTGCTTTTGCTCCTTGTGCAACATGTATGATGCATTTCTAATGATGCTAAGATGAAATAAACAAAAAATAATAAGTAGAGTATGCACAGTTTGCAAAGTCCTTTCACAAACTTAAAAAGTCCGTTTTACCATTCATTTACCCGACAGAAGAACAATTATTTTTCAGAGAAAAAAGGGACTTTGATTTTTGAATATCATTATGGATATTTGTTTAATTCTCACAATTCACTATCGGTAAAGAGTGTCAGGGGACAACATACAAACTGAAACTTGGAATCATGTGGGTCTGAAAAGGCAATTTCTAAACAGAGAAATACATGTCTACCATAGAAAATCAAACACTCTCGGGGATTAGAGTATGAGAAAATGTTTTAGCAGTAGCTGTGTTAGGATGATATAGGGTGGAACTGAGGGAATAAAGGCCATCTGGGGACCTATAGTTTAAGTATTTGTGTGTGTGTTTGTGTGTGTGTGTGCAGGGAGAGAGTTTGTGGGACTAAAATATCCTTGCAGTCTCCCTCCATTAGTCTCTACTTTCTGTCTGGCACCAGCCCAAGCACTTATTCCAATCTATCTCCATATGCTGCCTACTACGCTCGCATGCATACACACACACGCACACACGCACACACACACACACACACACACACACACACACACACACACACACCCGGCGGCCACCCAGGAGAACAAATGAGCTTGGTGATATGAGATAAAGCATAACCAACAGGAAGCGTGTGCAGCATGAGCCAGGTTCAATACCAGACATTCACTCACTCTGCTGCATGTTTTTGCATCAGCTTTAGAGGCATACAGAAAGAATCCCTGCAGAGTGTGGTGCACAGTAACAGGGTTTTTAACAATTCTGTAACCAAAGAGAAGGGTGTTATCACAACCCAACATGCAATTGTATCCCCATGAAACACGAGCGCCTGTCGAGTGCTCGCTATGAAAAACACATCTACAGTTTCACTCAAATTCAAAAGGCCTGTGCTGACTCCCTGCTGAGCTCCCCGCCCCCGTGTCATCAGGAGGAACTCACGTTGCGCAGGGCGGCACGCTTTCACCCAGAGGTTCACATGACTCCAACTCCTCCAGAGGTGTGCAGTCCGCCCCCTCGCCCACAGGGAACTGGACCACCTGTCTGCTCCGAGTGCGATTGCCTATGGGAGACTCGGGGTCCAAGCAGGTTTTAGAGCAGGGGCCCCACTGGATCCAGTCGGTCAGCTGGCAGTCTTTGGGAAGGACGCAGGACTGGACAGTCAGCGGCAGGTCTCTCATTGTGCATAGGCTGGAAAAGGATGAAGAGGAGGGGAACAGGAGGGAGGGAAGGTAAGGTTAAGATAAGACAGATTTTATTCAGAGGTAGGTTCCTGAAGTTTGAACAAGAGGAGAGCACCGCACACATACATAATGTAAACTCATATATTCACTGTCCCTGGCCAATAAATAGTCAGGCCCATAACACCCTGAGTCCATGACTTGACGTTTCTACAAAGTTGTTTTTCAAACAGATTTCAAGGGGGACCTATTATGCTAAATCCACTTGTTCCTGTCTTTTATACATAAACATGTGTCTCCTCTGTGTAAAGAGATTCTGAAAGTTTCAGGAAAAAAGATTCTCTCTCTTTTTGTCCTGATCCATTTATATAAAAACCTGTCTGAAAATGAGCTGATCAGATTTTGGCCACTTTATGATGTTATAACGATTTTTAGCCCATAAACAACCAAGGTAACCCCCCCCCCAACTTTATCGACCTGAATCTCGCCTCCTAGAGCTCCATTGTGTTTTTTTAACCAAATATGCTCTCAGATGGGGCGGTGCGGGAGGGGCTCCCTTAATTTTCATCTAAATAAGCAGACAGAGAATCAGCACTTTGAACACGGACTGAAACAGAGGGGAATGTATGGGATGCTGCAATGATCTGTTTTGGTGTTTGGAGCCAAACACTTCCAGAGAAATGTTTTGTATATATCGTGAGATCCTTTTAACTATATTGATGAAAAACAGTATGATGAGGGGACTTGTAAACAAACAACATATACACACCTCACACACTAATTAGGCTCCTAGTCTAGAATTCAGGTTCCAATAATTGTGTTAGTCTTACTGATAAAGATGTTGATTATTACACTCCGAACTAGTTTAAAACATCGAGCTGCAGAAGAGTTCTTTCAGAATTGTTTGGCAACCGCTGTGTCAACTCGTGACACAGCCCGCGCCTGTCTTGTCAATTCTCACGGCCGTAACTCCAAATTAAAGCGCCATGTTTTTGCATCAAAGCTCCATGCTC